CACAAACAACAAAAAAGCAAGGCAATTGCCTGAGATTCACTTTTATCGCGTTTCAGCGAGCGTAGTGGTTAATGTAATTTCACTTGTAATTTTCTATGAAAAATTGTAGAAAAAAAAATGCCTTCCTGCGTGTTTAAACAATGCACAAATTACACATTGACAATGAAAAATGCAAAAACGATATCATTTCATGCGTAAGAACTGTGATTACTCTTTTTTATTTTAATAAAAATAAGGAAACGTGAGTAGCTCGGTGGCGTAGTGTTTAAACGCCGCGGCATGCGATCGTTGTCGTTAAGCAACTTTCGCAGGGGTCGGTCACGGGATGGGTGACCAAAAATTATTATCTCGAGATACTCCGTGCTTCGGAAGGCACGTTAAGCCGTTGGTCCCGGCTGCATTTACAGTCGTTACTACACAGCCCTCCGATCTGCATTGGGCCCGCGTGGAGGGTCATGGCCCATCCTCCTTAACCATCCATAAGGAAGGCCTGAGCCCCTGCAGTGGGGACATAAAAGGGCTGATGATGATGAAAGAAACGTCATTGAACACGGCTATTTTTTCATGCAACATGTTCTATGAGGATGCCGCAGTTGACACGTAAAGTTATGCAAGTGCGTTTATTTCGTTCTAATAAGAGATATGCTGGAAATTCTGATAGGGAGATAAGTATTTTTGATTTCTTGACGCCCTTTGTGGTTGTAATATAATTTTACGCTACCACGATAAAATTTACGCTATTTTAATATACAATAATGTACGGGCATGACGCGTCTAATAATAAAACGTTGTTCATAATATCATACGTAATTTTATATAACGTGACAACAAAAAGTATATCTAACATGACAGACGATGTCACATTAGATACAATTTTGATGTCACAGTAAAAGTCATGGCAAAAAAATAAATAATCATATATCTTCCAATTCTGATAAGAATTTCGCTGATCATATTATATATCCATACTCGTATATAAATTTTATGACTCAGCATTTTCATAACGGAACATAGAATTAATATCGACCTTTAAAAAACAGTGACTTAATTTTAATATTGGGATACTTAGGTTGGATTGCATCATAATTGCATTCAAAGTTAAGGTTTATGTCAAATTTGACGATATCTGTGGTGACATTGAATGTAGAATGCGTTGCACCATCCTCTTTATTGGCACAGTAAAACAATAACTATAAGCGAGCAAATAAACTTTGGCGGTTATTGTATTATATTGTTAACAGTTAAAGTTATGAAGTCCAAAGGATAACTTATTAATAATTGCTTAGCCGGTACTTTAACATGTTTATTATTGTTAAAGTTTGTGCAACCAATCCTTATAATCGGAAATAAAGAACAAATGATTACACCAAAACCACCCTTAAAGATATTACTCAATATATAGTTATAAAAGGTTTGTTTCCTGCAACCAAGCCAACCGGATATCAAGCGATATTGTTTCAGAGATGCGGACGTAATGGAACTATGTTTGTCGAAAGAACAAATAAAACTGTCCACTGATAAACATACCTACACATAAAAGAAAAGATAAAATAATAAAATTCGAGGCCCCAGATTTTACGTTTCTCTTGTAAAGCTCGATGACGTAGTTAGTAGCCGTGTTATTTAAAATGGTCGAATCACAATTAATATAAATAAGAGCATTATCATGTTGACTTCAGTGAGCGAGGTCTGTGTACTATTGCCAGAAACTTTTGCAAGGTTGATTTGATTATTTCATTGTAAGTGGAAGTTATCCTATTGAGAGTAATATAGTATTATAATACCTGAGATTATAATTAATTCAGTCTTAATAAGAGGAAAGATATAAGAGGAAAGACTATAATATCGCTAAAATATTCATATGGAGATATTATTTCACTGAAAAAAGTCTGTAAGTAACTCAGCAAGGGCTGCTTTTTCCTCCCCATTTTATTTCATATGGAGACGTCTTACACTCAAGTCTGATATTATCTTATCTGCCTACGTCTTTTACCTTTTACAAAACCCTAGTGGAATAAGACAGGTCAAATTTATGCGGAAAATTCGTCAGTATTTGCTTATCTAAGAGAATACAATGCAAGAGAAAAAAATAAACATTTGTGGTGTAATCTGTTTCATATCCAACTACCGAGGGAGTATAATATTTTAGATCGTAATATGAAGTATGTAAATCTGTATGCCTATTATTTCATACGCTTTGTATATGGTCGGTAGGGATTCAATAAATTTATTAGTGCAATGGAGTAATCGTGTTTATATGAAACATAGGGTATAACATATTTAAAAATTAGCTAAACTCTCCGTTACATTTCGTTAGAGTGTTATGTTTGGAACTTGGGATTCCTTTTAGTGTTTTAAACGTAATAAATTTCACATGTTAAATATTGTATATAGATATAATTTTCTATAATCAAGGCTACGGTTATAAAAAATAAAATACCTTTTTAATGGTGTCAGTGTCCATTAGGATGATGTTACGTGCCTAATTCAAATCCGCTTAGTCATTTTAAAGTTACAGGTCGCGAAAGTAACTCATTTGAAAAACTCATATACATTAACCCTAAACACAATACACGTTTTTTAGGCAAACACACAATAAACTTACAAAAACACTTTCACGTAAAAATATGGCCGAGTAAAAATCGAGTACAATATAAAATTACGCCGACAAATGTAAAAACAGTGACATTAGCAACAGTGAAATTAGCAACAGTGAATAGTAGATATTCGCTTAATTGAGACTAATATATGATTGTTACTGCTTTGAACATTTAGAAGTAAGAATCATAGCTATCAATGGTATCAGTTTTTCCATAATACAACATTTTAAAGACCGGTCACGGTAAGGGATATGTTTGCATATGCGTTAGTTAAAACGTCTTAAACTGCCAATGGGCCAAACACGGGGTAATGTTCAAAACCAGTTCCTCTGCCCAAAACATGGTCGTATCATTTTCATTCCCTAAAGTGTATTAAAGAAATCTTAGTAAGGTCCCGAAAGCAGTACATCCTTACGTAATAAAGTGTGCGAGCTGCTTGTCATACCCGCGCAGGTCGTAAAAGTTGACTAAGAGAATCTGTTTTATATCGCCCTTTTATGTGGACTATCTGTCATTATATAAGGACCTGACAATGAGTGACACGGATGTTTGTGGCATCATATTGGATGCAAACATTTCCTAATGTATATAACGTTTGTTCAAATATCCTAAGAGATAGTAATAATAATTATTTGATTCTTATTACTATTGTTTTCTTAAAACTTATTTATTAACGCATATTAAATACTGAATGAATCGAATTGAAATTTATTATGACGTAGTGATTTGCAAAAGCATTTCGATAAAATCAACCCTTAAGTGGTTAAAAATTATGTAATCCGCGTGGACGAAGTTGTGGGTTTCAATTATTTTGGTATGAATAATCATAACAATTTATCATCGAGAAACTATCACCCCTAAATTTGATATACATCTGGGCGTTTACGACACCCTAATATAATAAAACAATTTCTCGAGGCGAATACCTATTTGATTGAATAAAGTTGACCCTTTTTTATCACCGTATTACCTAAAATTGATTCAGTTTCTACATTGGAATAGAAAATATTGGATAGATTACAATTGATCCTTTGTTTTCTGGGAACTAGTCTCCGATTCACATAGCCTAAATTTATTTGTAACTGTTAGCTAAATGCTTTGGAGCTCAAAATTTAAGTAGCAGTGAAGAACACTGAATTATTTAATGAGTTTATTTGTACATCCGATTTTCGTAAAAAGAACATATTTAGAATACAAAAAAATCATACTTGTGCTCAATGTGCAGGATATATCTCTAATTTTACGTTTAATGAGATAGTTTTTTTTTATTCTCTTTCTGTGTTCGTAGCGAAAATTATCGATTAGCAATCGAATTCGTAGGTATAGAGTCATTTTAATTTTTTTTTTGTATTGGAATGTCTACAAACTTACCAGTCCATTGCCAAAGAACTGCTTTATACGGTGGTTTTAGGGATTCGAACCCTAACGTCCAAAACCAAAAATCATGAACTTGCATTTGATTTTTTATGTACTAAGGAATAAAAATCCCAATTGAAACGTGAAAACATTACCAAATATATAAATTAACGAAAAATGCTTAATATTTTACCAGTACCATCACCCCAAGACAAAACTGGTATAGAATTTAATCCAATATATCAATCAAATATAACATCGAATATGTAGTAGATTGGGTAAAAATGCGAATTTATAAAACTGTATCGATAGAAATCGAAAAATCATAACTATTACTTTATTTGCTCTAAAATTCGCACTTTCATTCATCTTATACCACGTTCCAATATAAAAAATCAAAATACACGTTTTCGATTAGTCATATTAGCGTTTTGAAAAAACTCGAAAATTTGTTTTTGAAGAAACAGAATAAGCCTCTAAAGGATTTACAAGCACTCTGGCTTGTGTAACACCTGTAAAAGTGTTTGATTTTAAATCGGGTCGAAGAAAACCTCACTATTCTCTAGACCTATTTATTTTATTGTACGACTACTGGACGATTCTTATTATTACCATAAAAAATAACTACCTTTATAAAAATAACATAAATATTTAACAACAAAAACCTAATCATATTCTGAATATTATATGATAAATAAAAAAAAACTAAATTATTTTTATTAATTATATATTTATTAATATATATAATAAACTCATGTTTGTAATTGTTATTTGTAGCTAACTATTTAATAAATATAAAAATCATATTCACGCAAAAAATTTCATGAATGATTCATGAATGATGAATATTTCATGTAGTCAGTCAAGTAATTACAAAAAAGTATAATAATTAAAGAAAAAAGATCAACCCAGTAACAATGCCAAGATCGTGCGTTTGTCACCTGTGAGTAAATACCAATAAAATATTATGATTTAGTCGACAACAAGATCGATAAATCAATCTTAACAACATTCAGATAAAACAAAGTGACATACGGTACTTACCATATCATCATAAAAAGGCATCAGGATATTCAATATTCGCTTTATATGGTACGAACATAACGTCCAATTTACGTTAAAACCACTACATGAATATCGAATGTCAGTCCACAGTTCAGTCTGATTCTGTGCATTTTGTCCACCTATTTTAACTGATCACCTTAAAAATAAACATATAAATTCACTCGCCACCGTTAAAAAAAATAGAACAAACAAAATATATTTGTAATTACGTAAACTCCTATTCTAATTTCAAAATATAAAAAAAAGATAAAGTAACTTTTACTTTTTAAAGCATCTGATTTTTTAATACAATTAAATAAAACTTAAAAGACACGGATATAGAAGAAGGATTATGAAGTTTTCAGGCCAGTTGCGATCTAGTTATGTGGATTTTCAGTATACGTCCGCTCGTTACGACTCCTGAAACCAGACTAGAGATCTCTGGCTATGGCTGTACCGTAGTGCCGTTTTGCCGCGCGTTTGTTTTATCTGCGATTGCTGAAATGATGAGCACTCTCCGCTTGTACACATTGTGTAGCGATAACAAGGATACTCTCTTAGACGCTAGCAGCGTGCATATTTAAAATAAAATATTTATACGATAAAGACTACACCAAATTACTATGTTTCCGAGTAATTTAATTTTGAATGAAAAGGAAAGTTTTTATCATTTCGAACACCGAAAAAAAAATAAAAGTCATTATTTTTCATTAAAAAAAAACTTACTCGATGTTACGCGTAAATAAAAGGTAAGATTGTTGTGAAATACTCACATATAATTTTAATTCGCTTGAATCGATAAAATCAAAAATTTTTATTTAGGTATTCCTAAAAAATGTTTCGAAGAAAAGGTCTTATGGACGCCGAAGAAGCAGTGGCTGCATTTCTAGATGGTGCAAGTGCAGTGAGACTGTGGTTGTAAAGCAACTTTCGCAATGGCCGGGCATAGGATGAGTGACCAAAAATTTACTATCTCAAACTCCTCCGTGCATTGAAAGGCACGTCTAGCAGTTGGTTCTGGCTGTATTTGCAACTTTAATACCCTCCAATCCACATTGGGCCATAAGGAAGGCTTGAACCCCAACAGGGGGGACGTAAAAAGGATGATGATGATGAAGCCCTAATACTAATTTAATCGCATGCCGCAGCACTTATCCACTCCGCCTCCCAGATATTCACTAATAGGGCTTATAATAAGATAAGTATTCAATGTGATTTTAATATTGTTGTTAAAATTTATACCTTATATTAAAGTGCATATGGAATTCAGTTTAATACCTCTAAAATGTGCAATAAAAATCTCAAATTCACTATTTTGGTCTTTTTTTTTTTTCAATTAATGGTTGACTTAATCCTAATATCTCTAAAAGATTACCAAAATGTTATAATTGCTGGCGATATTAATATCGATATGAAGCCCAATAATTCTGATATCTCTTCTTATGAAAATCTCAACTTATTGGCTACACATGGAATGCTCTCGTGTCACACTATTGCAACTAGAAAGGAGTCTTGTTTTGATCATTACATTCTTAAGTCACAAAAGAAGCTTATACTTTTGTGATGCATTCTTCCATTACTGATCATGTTAATCCTTTAATGCTTAGATAAGTATTCCCCTAAACAAGATACTATTCGGATTACTAAAACTGTCCACCAATCTCTAGAAAAGGCGGTGTCTGAAATTGATTTTACTCCAGTAATAAGCTGTTAGGCACAAATATAGCGGCTAACCTACTAGTTAATTTACTATCACGCGTTATTCATACAAATACCAAAATCTTGCATATCCCCCATAGAACCCGAATAAAAAAGCCTTGGATTACTTTAGGATTACTGCGTTGTATCAGGAATCGGAATAGAATGCACAAAAAACTTAAACAATCGCCGAATAACGATATACTTTTAATAACCTACCGCAGATACAAGAACTATTGTAATAATTTAATATTAAATCATAAACGGTAATAGGAACAAAAATAATTTAAAAAGCAGGCTATAATACTAAACAAATGTGGAACGCGATAAAAAAAAAGCCACAAATAGAACTAAGCGAAAAGATAATGCTACGGCACTGTTCTCTAATGACTACCCCAATATTGCAGTTAACAAACTCAATAGTTTTTCTTTTCAACATTGGCAAAGACTTAGCAGAGTCAATTAAGCGCAATAATAATCAACCAGAGTCAATAAACTTGAATAATAATACTCCTGTTTCTTTTTTTGTAATGCTTGACGCAGATAAGGAAGAGGTAAGCAATCTTGTAGATTCCTTGAAATTAGATAGAGCAACAGGGTATGACGGCATTTCTTCTAAGTTCCCAAAACAACACAAATGAATACTAATACCATCAATAACACATATTTGCAAACTGTCACTTTTAACTGGCATATTCTCGGATGTATTTAAGAAAGCTGTTATCAAACCAACATTTAAAAGTGGAAATCGAACGAGTGTCAACGATTATCGCCCTATTTCAATTCTTACAGCACTTTCATATTAGAGAGGATTATTAATAGCAGATTAATAAAGTACCTTGAAACAAAAATTATTCTTCCCAACAACAATATGGTTTTCGTGCTAACATATCAACAGAGGGAGCAGTTCATAAATTGTGCAGTTTTAAAGTGAATTCTTTGGATAATTCTAAGAAGTGTCTTTCTATATTCTTGGAATTAGCAAAAGCTTTTGACATGGTTTCAATTTCACTACTTCTTGATAAATTATACCAATCAGGAGTGCATAAGCTAATCTCTAGTTATCTAACCGGTAGATCACAATGTGTTAAAATTTCTCACGGTAGTGTACTGGGTCCAAAGCTATTTTTAGTATTAAGTACCTATGTAATACTAAACTGGAAAATGGCATAATTATTTCTTTTGCAGATGACACTCTTGTGTTTTTAAGGGTGAGTTTTGGGGACAGATCTATTAAACAGCACAACGTGGTTTAGATAAAATTATAGCATGGCTGAAACAAAACCTGCTAACAATAAATCTCACATTTATACCCATATAATGCAGTTGCAAAGTCAGTGCGACATTGACAATGGAGGAATAAACTTAATAAACGGACTAAACATTTATCAATTTAATGACACCAAATAATATAAGTATACAATACAAATAGAAAAGAAATTTAAAATACTGAAAAATTTGCTATGTTATGTGTCGCCAAACTGACCTTAGCTCAGTATTCGCAGTGAGCATAGTGTACCACGATTCTGCTTTATTTATTTAGATAGTCAAAGAAAATAGAGGGATATCGAGCAAGATAATTTATTTGACAGTAGGTAGTTTATCCCTAAAAATGTTTGGCATATCCGTATTACAAATTTCATTCAAATTCATTCAGTAGTTTTTGTATGAAGGAGTAACAAAACATTCAAATGTACGAACTTTCGTCTTTATAATGTTAGTGTTGAACCGCTAAAGAACCAAAATGTTCTTATAACTCGGACAAATTTACATTTACACCTAGGCCTATTCAATTTGTCCTCGAACGAAAATTTGGAGAAATTAGAATAATTCTTGTAATTTTGTTAAAATCATGTATTAGAGGGTGCGTCAGGTCCTAACTCCGTTGCATCATAAATTATCAAAAAATGCGTTTCTTTAGAGTCGTAAAAATATATGAAATTTCGTTTTCGCAGAAATAAGGTCTTCAAGTGTCATGTTAATTCGTACGAGTAGTGTGTTACACGCTAGCGGAACCAACTTCCCTCTCGCACTGTGTATGTAAAGGATTTAGATCTCCATTCAAACAACATTGCCAGCGTAATTCTAGAATTTATAAATTAGATTTAGCTTAAGGGGTCATAATTAAGTTCACCGTCAAAGTAAATGCATTTTAAGTACACATAAAAGATAAATTGTATTACAATTTGCTAATTGCTAATGGTATCGTTTACGACGAAGCCATAAACGCAATGAAAAGCGTTTCCTATACAAACAATTAGGCGGTCATCTCGTTGAGTTAATTATCTTTCGAGCACAATGGCTTCTGTAATGATCGTTAATTTTGTTATGGACTATGTTCTGTATGGAGTTTGAGCCAATCGGCTGTAGGTTTAATCAGTGTAGCCAGTTTTCCCTTTTTGATATACTCTAAAAAACGAGATTAAACTAATTATATAAACTATACTATACTAAAAAACCAACTTTAAAATTGCAAAAATCAAACTTTAACTCAAATAAATTCTAAAATATCCTTACTTTAATAATATAAATGTTAATGGAACTTTGTAAAACATACTTACTGCCTGTTAAGATATTTGGTATACAGATAAAGATTGTAAAATACGATAGTATGTATGACATTTTTTTTGCAACTGAACGTGGTTGATATATTCAACTGCATGCAGTTGTTTGTTAGACTTCGTTCAGTCATTATATCAACTCACGTGGTCGGCTGCAGTAGTATGAAGTCAACATTTTCTTCGTGCCGATCCCAACAACTGTGACTCCAGTTTTATGCGGTCGACTACAGTTGCGTAGTGACGACGCATGCAGCCCATCGGTAACCGCATACAATTTACTTCTTTACAAAGACAAATCCGTGGCGTCAACTGCGCAAAATCAGATCCAACTGTAGATAACTGCACGTAGTTGAATATAGCAATTGCGCGCTGTTACTGATCCAACAGCAGCGGTTGTTGCGGTGTAGTCCGTCCGTAATGACAGCCTTTCACAAGGGCAATATATAGAGATAATGTTTGTAATTATATGAGTCACAGATTGCCGACCACTGCAGGGCATAGCTAACATTTAATATTTAAAGAAAACCTAGAAAAGTCAGATGAAAAACGGCGTAAAAATCAACAGCAATTTAGTAATCTATTGTAAATATTGTCACAAATTTTACTTGATATAAAGAATAAGAAAATTGTGTCATAATAAAATGGAATATAACAATCAAAGTAGCCCCCGCTGAGTTTGTTGTTGTTCTTTTAGGGTTTCCGTCGTAAAATTTATGAAGAGATAATTTGACGTCTAACGAAATGCATTAAGCATTATAAATAAAGATATTTTAAGTATAAGATCATATTTTTGTTTTCTTTTTCATATCTGAACCATCAATCGTTATGCTATTAAATTGCAAAGATTCTCAGTTTTACCGAAAATAATTTATTTCTATTAACCTATCCATATTTTCTTTCCTTATTACTTTAGATGGTTATTAATGAAACAAATTTTAAACGGCTTCATCGCGTTTGTATTTAGTTTTATTTATGTTTCGGACCTTTTACAGGTTCCATGTTCACATATGACACAGAGCCCGTAAAGGGTCCGAAACTTCAATAAAACTCAATATAAACGCGATGAAACCGTTTAAAAGTTGTTTCATTTATGGATAGTGCGCGTGGAAATATATGAAATCAATATTTTAGCTGGTTTATATTAAGAGACCATAAAATGTATGTTTTTGTATAAACGACCTTGAAGACACCGAAATAATTTATATAAATATT